ACACACACACACACACACGCACACACATTTTGAAAAACACTGGTCTAAAGCATGACCTACAAAATACCAGTAGCAGAGACCTGTGCCCCCGACTGTTTATGGTTAATACACATTGGTGTCAGGTCAAATGAACAAGGGCATAATAATAATAATGTTAAGTTATTACCCTCACATTTTGTAACAACTAAGTCAAACAAATAGTTGTTAGTAGTCATTTTGAGAAGTAAATAATTCAGAAAATATTTACAGGACCCCACCTTGATGTTTTGGCCATGACCCCAATTTTGGGAACCACTGGACTAGTGTATCGTTTTGCAATTAACAAAAAACATACAGTATGAACAGTTCAAAACTGAATAAAAGGCATCACAAGGAATAATCTTTCCAGACATTCATACAAAAGTTCCTTTTAAACTGCAGCTGTTAATTGTTGTATTAATCCTTTGAATTCTGAACTCCCTTCTCCTCTCAGAGTGGTGCTCCCGGGGACAGACTCAACTCTCCTCCTCGCCGTCATTGGAAGGAGTCRGTGCTGGTGAGTGCAGAAGGCCCGTCTGCTTCGCGGACATCGAGGACGAGCCCTTCCCACCAGAGAAACGGTCACGAGGACAGAAAAGGATCCATGTCCAATACAGAGGAGACGAGAGGCTCAACCCGACAGACTCACCAAGATCACCTGAGCCAAGGTCCAGCATCTCGTGGTGCCTCAGACAGCCGCTCCACTGTCAGTGCTTCAAACAGGGAGTCTATTATGAGCAGGGAGCAGGCTAGTAGAACAAAGGACCTGTTTCATAGAAGGTCAGGCTTAGGGTCTCAGCAGGAGCACTTTCTAGGTATGATGCGTTATAGGGAGTCTCCTTCCTGTTCTAGATCATTAAACATGGATCGTGAACTAGAACAGGCAGTCAAGCAGTCACGTCGAAAAGTTGACCAAAGTCCTAGCCGTATCGCTCTGGGAAATGACAGTGGTCACAATAGAGACAGTCAGAGCAGCCCCGTCCAAGGTCGACCTATGATGGGTTCAAGGAGATCTTGTACCAGTCCTGCAGTTAGCAGCCCCCACCCTCGCACCGAGCAGAACGGCTTCATTTCACCGCTCTGTGATGACGGTAGATGCTCCTCACTCCTGAGCCGATCGTYTCGCTCACAGAAGATCCAGAAAGTGCAGCAGCAGTCGAGCGCAGACCCGCGCCACGGTGCATCCCTATCCGGGCAGGAACCACGCTTTGTCACATCCCGSGCTGAACGTATGGCGGCTCTTGAACGCCGCATGATGGCGAACGGCCTCTCGGCACCGAGCCAGTCCCGGTCTGGTCCAAAACGATCGAAGCAGGGTAGTGTTACCCACGTGGGTGCGGTTCAGATGAGTGAGGGCACCACCAGTGGTTCTGAGTCCAGTGAGTCTGAGGTGGAGAACAGGGCCAGCTGCAACAGCCCMCTAACTGCTGGTCCAGTAGAGGCTAATTCCTCCATACCTAGGAACAAGTTTTCCTTCGGCAGCCTCCAGCTGGATGAGGATGCAGAAGCTGATGGATGTCATGTCTTCAGTGATGAGGATGGAGAACAGATTTTCACTTGCTGATACACACAAACAAAGGAGTTTGACACATTTGTTCTGGGACCAGATGGTCTGATTGTATAAAACCAGCAGTAGTTTTCTTAAGCACAGCACCTCTAACTAAAGCACAATTTTAGAAGTGTTCTTGTCCGTTAAGTAGTGGATCATCATCATTTAGTCTCCTTTTAAACCATGTTCAAGCAGACAAATACTTGTGCCTTACTACACTGAATGATTATTGATTCAATCCTGCTGAGGCTACAATAGATGAGTGACTTTGTTTTAAAGCTGAAAGTTAACTATAATGCAGATAACATGTTGGGTTGCTGACGGTTCATTTTAGTGCCTTAAGTCCTTCAAAACAGAAATATTCTTGTATCTTATCACTGTCCATAAAAGCATCCAAATTCTTAAACTTTACCTGCTTTTTTTCAGGTTTTTTCCTGACTATATACTGGGCTTGTTATCTTACTTTGTAATTCTTAACATTCTAGGCATTTATTGTCAGCAATCTGATTTATCTTGTTAGTTTGAACAAGGTGCAGATACTTATTGTGTTTGGTATGCAGTTTTACTTTTTAACAGGAGCCTTTATTATTGACTAACTTATATTGTAATTTATTGTTAACAAATTATTTATAAGAGACAGGAACAAAGTAGCAATTAGAGTGAGATACTGTAAATTGACCCGATATTTTCTGAGTATTGTGTTGTTACGTTTGAAGGATTAGCAGTTTCTTGGTCAGATTGGTGTGAACGAGTGAGTGCTGCAGTGATAGTTTTGTCACTCYAATATCGACTTTAACAATAATCTATCATCACTAAACCAAGTCCTGCACGAGCCATTAGATGTTGTTCATAACATTTCCAGTCTTGTCAATAAAATGGCACCGCACTTTCAATTTTCCTGTTTTTTTTTTTTTTGCACTTTTTCTTCATGTTTCTGTTCAGTCTGTGTAAGACGACAATTAACTTTACTTTTTTTCGTGTGTTCACCTTGAGCATGAATCTGTCTTATCTTGTCGTTTTCCTCTCAGCTGTGACTGCATGTAAACCTGTTCTGTCACTAGTGTGTGTGGTGAAAAGCACTCGTGAAAGGCAGTTWAGGGCAGAAGCGCTTCAAAGTACAGTCTCCTGGTTCATCCATCGTAGTCACTGACTCAGCATAGTTTTAGCTGTTTCCTGGGGGTTTTTTTATTCACACTTTTACCTACTTACATGAAGATGAAAAAAGAACAAAGTYATGYGAATTAATCAACATCATCTCTATAAAGTATACCAGATGCAGAGTTACTGGATCAATGCAGCATCAGGAACCTGTCATTGGTGCACATATTGCTCTTCTATAGACCTGCTTATTATTAATTTTGGTTTAATGAACACTTGGCTGTCTAACATGACCTCTGCATGCTCARTACCTCAGTTTTTGTATGAAAGATTTGTATGTTGTCCCAACCTTTGGTGTCCTTCAGGATATGTTTCCAGTGCATGCTGTACTAAATCAAGACTATGATGAACTATGCATGGAGCTATCTGTCCTGGCTGCCGTCTGCTGAATGTACTGTAATATGCAGTGCTGTGCAAAAGTCTTGAGCAAACTCTTATTGATTATATTTTGCTTCTAAACTGCCWGAATTTCTTGTAGTCTTMTTTGAACTTTGCTTTTCACTTATTTTAGCCTTTTTTCCCTCAARTTAAGTCACTTAACTCTGAACTATGAGTTATTCAGACACAACTTAACTTAAAGAATTAACTAGTGTTGCCGACACACCGCAGGAATCTCACCAAATAACTATGTTTAAATTTGGTCCTTTAGCTATATGTAGCTAAGGTGCTAGCTAGCTAGAACCAAGAACAGAAGTCTAGTTAAGATAGTGTTTTAGGACCAATGTAGTGACTCCCAAAGACAAGCATTCTCTAAGTCACCTCTGGCTTTTTATAGATGACCAATAGACTATTTTGTAGTTACAAGTACTAGCAGAACAGAATGTCATAAGGCTCACTTGCATACATAATATACCGAACATTGTGAAAACAACCTAGCAAGGCCATGCAACCTGATTTCTTAGTAAAAATATAAATAAATCCAGTCGCATTGGTGCAATCAGTCRTTGGAGTACGGCGGCGGGACCCTGTTTATCCGGAATAAACCGACACTGCTTTCAACGAATCAAACAAACCCCAGAGCCATTTTATTCAATCAGAGCAGAGCAGGGTGGGACTTTCAGTCTAAAACTACAGGAGATTTTCATCTGAGAGGCATTTAACCATGAAATATTCAGTTTAAGATGTTTATAGGACATATGCCCACAGGTTAGCCACTTACGTAGTTTACAATATTTACGCTGAGTAAAATAAAATAAAATAAAAACTCTTGGTGGAATGAAGATTGGCATCCTGTGATGTTACCAGCTGATAGAGGGTGTCATAAAACAGAACAAGGCAACATTAAAATGTCCTGATGCCCATCTACGTAAATGTGTTAAACGAGTTAAGAAAAACAATCAACCAATTAACAACCCTAGGTTCTCCCCTGTTTATAGCTAATRTATTTATGAAAAATCTCATCTATAATCCTAAAGGAAAGTTTAACATGAATCATCGAGTCTATWAAACGGTGTAAATTTACTAGTTGAATTTGTTCAATTTCAGTTTCCACAGCAACCTCAGCGTTTTCCCATTAAATGTGTGAGCTCGGCCCGCTTCGCACATGTGCATTTGTAACAATTTTTACTACAAAAATGACAAATACAAAATGGTCTATTAACCACTCATRTCTTGCATCAATGGCAGCTTTCATAATTTAAGCCAACAAAGGTGTGGAGTGGTATTGATGTGGAATGCTACACATATATTTTGTGTCAGACCTCCAGTTCCTAATCTCAGTGGAGGCTGGTCAGACCAACTTAATCATTCACATATACTGTACCACTATGGTAGAATAGTAGAAGGACTGAACTTATATAGTGCTTTATCAAGCCCCATGGGGACCCCAAAGCTCTTTACACCACAGTCACACTCATTCACACACTGATGGTGAGCTACATTGAATGGCTCTATAACTACATCTCCCAAAGTTTAGTTTTTTTTTATTCAGAGGTGTAACAGCAGTGGTTTGACTTCAACTCTCCATTAGTACAGTTTTGTAACACACCAAGGTAACCAGAAATAATCTTGATCCCCTTGTGTTTCCCTAAAGACGTGACTTTCAGATATAGTTCATTTGCTGTGGATATTTTTCTTTTAGTCCTGACCAGTCTGTCAGCTAAAAGGACTGGACAGAAACCGAGTAAAAAAAAAAAGCAGCTAAAGTTTAAAGAAAGGCCACCAGAAAGKGGCTCAAGACCACTTTAGAAGATTACAATTAATCTAGATTTTTTTGGAAACACATACAGAAATAAGAGTTCCTTAAAACTTTTGAACAGTGCTTCATGCTTGGCTCTTTCATTCTCTTCATTGTGRTTTCATTTTCATGTGAGCAGACAGACTGTGTTGTGTTTAAACAAACTGTAAATCTAGACTAATACTCTAATAAACTGTACTGAACATTTTTCAGCTCTGTGCCTCAGTTGAAATTAGATGTTGAATTGGGAGGCTTCCATTAGTCATATTGTTTTTGACTCAGTAGAAGAAAGCATTAACTGAATGACAAAATCAAAACAAAATGCTGTTCAAAATTCTTTGTATTTGGTAGTAAACAAAGTGAAAATAACTGTTTTCTTTTTGAAACCTTTGGTAGCTGCTGTAAATATTTTAGAMTCTGGCACTCCTTGTAGATGATAGAAACTGTTCATTTTAAAATCCTCTTAGTTTTGTTGTTGAGTTTCTTGGTGAATGATCGTATCCCACTCACTCGTAGCCTTCTGTGTTTGAGTCATTTCCTCCCTCAGTAGTGTTCAGACTTTATGTTGTGCTGGTTTTGTGGTCTTGTAATCACCATTTTATTTGTGCCAACATGCCACGAGATGGCAGGTAGAGGTGGGCATGTAAGTAGCGAACGTTGTGAGTGTAAACGACACAAAGCGAGCCGCTCCTCTCCATCGTCCTGCAGTATATGTGCCTCAGCTTGTACACTGATTGATGTGGTGCAACGGCTGCTAGAGCTGTCTCAACTTCAGAGTGAGTCACAGCTGATTTTTTTAACTTTTTTTTTTTTTTGCCACATGTCCCAGTTTGACCCCAGTGGGTTTTAATTTGTGTGTCATTGTGGAGACGCTTTGGTATTTGTTGGAGTTTTAAGGATCAAATAACTTTAATTTTTAGTGATAGAAAAAGATAGAAGGTTGATTAAAGGCTGGGAAWGAATGCAGTTCCAAAATAGAAATAAGTGAACAATTAAATGAAAGAGTCCCAAAAGTTTTAAAGTGGGTATTATGTTTTTTTTTTAGGCACATAGTTCCCTTCTTTTACCACAATCAAGTCACCTTCAATTGTTATGAAAGTGCTGTATTTGACATTACATTGTACCCTATCTAAACATCTTAAAAGTGGCCTCTGTSTCTTTAAGAACTTCCTACCATTTCAGCCACTTCCACTTCAGCACGTCTTCACAGCAATGCTTTGGGGGAGGGCTGTTATGTTGAGCACMCTTGGCTATAAATGTGTCTCCTTTAATCAGCTTGTCATGCTTGTCAGATGTGGATCTTTTGAAAAAAAAAAGTAAAAATTAATTTAATTAATCATTCATCCGCCCACTCAGTCAATCTCTAATTATGACTTAAATTCTGGAAGGTTTAATTAACACAAAAATGTTGTCACGGTCTCTGTAAATTCAGATTTCCTCTTTTGCAACACATTTATTTTCATTATCCAGTTAACAATTAATCAGTTAAATCTGTATTTTGTTGATTTCRTTGTGTTAAGATATATTTTTAAGTGTTTAAACGCCCACCTGTGTACGCTTCCTTGGACTATTTGTGAATGCAGATGCTGACGTTAACCTATGACATCACCGTTTGACTCCCCACAGATGTTGAGTCCAACAGTCCTCGCCTGTCTGGCTCCTCCGGACACCCCCACGGGATGGTGAAYGGTCAGAAGTCCCTGGACCTGTGCAGCCAAGGCTTCGATGGCCGACAGCCTTCCCCGCTCACCAGCCCGCTGCTCAACGACGCCTGCAGTGTTCGCACCGATGATGAAGATGAGGTCCGGAGGAAGGTTTGTAAAACCAGACCCACTTTAAACGAGGTGATCTGAGACGCACCTCAGAAAAGGGGTGAAGGTGGGGGGCTTGTGGAGTTACAGTAAGGAGGAATTCAGACCAAAGCATTGTCGTTCCACTTTATATAAACCCAAACTGAATGATTTATAAGAAAAAGAAGGATTTAAAAGCAGGATATGTCTCTTTTAAAGATGTGGTTATTTAGAATTAGCTAAATAAAAATAATATAAATATAAAAAATAATATTTTCTGTAAATTTACCGAAGGACTTTCTCTTGTCTTTTTCTTTGTTTTGATGCTTTCCAGAGGTTTCCCACAGACCGAGCCTACTTCATCGCCAAAGAGTTGCTGACCACAGAGAGGACGTATGTGAAGGAYCTGGAGGTGGTGACTGTGGTAAGATGAGTCGTGTAAAAGAAAAGCTGCTCTGCTGTTTGGGACCCCCCCGGGAGGAAAAGCATTAATTATTCTGGTTAGCTGCGGCGCAGTCCCAGAGACGGGCAGTGACATACAAATACTCTGACAGACGCAGATTCATCTCTTATTCATCCCTCGCACTCCAGCTCTGAAAACGCATTTATCCTCCTCGCCCAAAGTTGTGAATACTAAACTGTGTCTGTGTTTAAAGAGCGAGCTGCCATGTGATCTCCCTGCACTGGTTTTATCTTGTTCCGTCATTGGCAGTGAGCGAGCGCAGCGTTTCATTGAATAATGTCTTGAAGTAAACAGCAGAAAACAGGAAATTAAATGCGCCGTGTAGCTTCTTTGTGTGTAAATGTGGAGGATGTTTTATTTATTTATTTATTTTCCACCTGTGGCTGTAAAATCTGTAAAGTTCTCAGAGAATGTGTGTGTGTGTGTACTTGTTTTGGCTACAGGGTGAGAACCATGTTAGGTTTTGAATCAACAAAGTGAGGGCATTTTTGGAAAGTGAGGACATTTTCCTGGTCCTCACTTTGTTTGCAGCTGTGTTGTGCTTTACTAGTTAGGTTTAGAGGTATGGTGTGCATTAAATTCTGGTTCAGGTTAGAGTTAACTAWAGACCAGTAATGGTTAATTTTGGGGAAAATGTCTGGGTTGGGCATAAATGCAGTTACGAAAATGAATGGAAGTCAATACAAAGTCCTGGAAGTCAAT